TAGGAAATGTCATCTTGGTCATACCCAGATGTTTGATTTTAAACATGAATCTTTCCTGCTTTGACTAATTCAAACAAACACCCCTCTTACTGTAGGCCCCACACATAAAAAATGTTCTACCATGTGCATTCCTATGAGAAGTTATAGAAATAAAAGATGAAAAAAAAATAAATATATCAATCCCATGGTAATCCAATTGCTCTACTGGCCTTTATCATAGACTGACCCTACACCAGCCAGATCAGCGTATCTACACAGTCAAGGAAGTGATGTGCTACATCACCAATAGACAGGTTCTCAATTAACATATCATACAGGAATATTTGTGCCAAATAAGCAACTCAAATTTTTCCCTTCTATTTAGACTCAGTGTTCCTCAAGAGCACACAGACCAGTTCTCACTTATCATGGATGTTCATAACACTTCTTGTATACTTAAATGTTTGGCCACATTCCTTCTGCATGCCCCCAGGGCACAATAACCCACAGTCTAAAGCCCAAGCTTTAGCCTGGTTTGAGACCTAGTTTATACAAAAAGAAGAATTTCTGCCGTCTGCTCCTTTCAGCTAGTCCGAGAAGAAAGACAAAGTTTTTGAAACCACACAGCTCGATACCATCACTGGGATATTTGTTAGAGTAGGCAGACTCCTGAAGGTTGAAGGCTGCTGATGCCTCCCTTTCTCTCCAAGGAAAGCCCAGATCTCTCAGGCTAATAAACATGGGAACTGGACTGATCTTTGTACAGCCTGCCTATGGTGCTTATTGTTTAGACTAAACTGTGTTAACAGTAGGGGGAAAAACTTTAGATGTGTGGTGAAGAGGAAAGGGTATAAAAAGAAGGTCGTTTCTTTCCACACAACATGAGACTTTCCTGTACTATCACAGTGGAATGAAAAGGCATTTCTTCTGCCCCGATCAGTCATAACATTTAAACCACAGAGCTAGCCATGAAATACTATGCATCATTTAGATCATTGATGCTGAACTGACTTCATAGTAAAAATGCCCTGGCAGGGCTAAAGCACCTGCTGTCAAAGGGAAACACTGATTAGAGAGGTGGGTTGGGTTTTTTTAGAGAGCTCTGTTCATTTTCACAAAACCATGTTACCATAATCCCCAAGTTCTAGCTCTGATGAGTAATTACTCCTGCAGCATGGTTAGAGAACTGCTACTCCAAATCCTCATTAAAATACTCCTGCAGCGTGGTTAGAGAACTGCTACTCCAAATCCTCATTAAAACCCTTACATATTTTTTCTGCATTTGCCTTTCAGCTATTATCAATTACGATGATTTGAGTATAAATACACACTTTCCTTCTTGATTATTATCCCCATTTCTCCTGCCTGATTCATTCAGGAAGGCCACAGTTCAATGCTTTTGAGGCCACAATGGCCTCTATGGGAATTAAGTCTGACATCAGAAATACTGAATTGTGGATTCAGTGAATGAATTAAATTGATGGGTGGGGGGTGGGAAATCACACTGAATATCATTGAGAGCACACCTAATCACATAGCCAACGGCAACCTATTTACTATGGAATGAGATAAGGGCCTCACTAGGTAGAGCTCATTAAAATTAATTTTAGCATTTGGGACAAGTTTTTTCACTATTGCTTTAAGAAGCAGAAGCAGAGCATAGTTACAAACACAGTGCTGCTTTCTGTTCATTGTGTAAATGTTCATAGGGTAGGATCTCCTCACCAGTGGGAGGAGCTATTAGGTTTTGTTGAGTTCACCTGTAGCATTATAGAATCAAAACCTATAAGCACTGTCCAGGAAACAGTCTTCTGCTTTTTGAATATAAATATATTCAAAGATGATGCAGCTGATATTGTAAATAAAAATATTGATGAGCACCAGGCTCATTTCCAGCTGTCTGAAATAAAAAAATAAGTTGGTTAGTCCTCAATTTGTCATCTCACTTATCAGCTTCTTACTGAGAGAAGGCTGGGAGAGAAACACCTGCTTTGGAAAGGTATGCCAGGATTAATGGATTTTCAAAGGCAGAAATATTAGAAGCAAAGTTCATGTAGCTTTCATCTACCTGAGGCAGTGGCAATGGAAAAGCATACTGATAAAGCAAAGGAAAAAAGGAGAAAGAGCCAGGACGTCTGTGAGCCAGAAGATAATACAGATGCGTAAGCCTCAAAAATGGGCAGAAATATGCAACAAACACAGGGAAGTGAAAACCCATTGTAAGTTTGAGATAACCCCCAAAACTCTTAGAAGAAATTAATCTGTAAATCAAAGCAGCTTCTTACTCTGCTGGGTTTAGTCAATTTATACAACTTACTTAAAGCTTCCTTGGCCTTTCCACCTTCCTTTGGAGCAAAGGGATTGCACTGAGTTCCACTACCTCCTTATCTCCTCTGCTTCTTAGAAGGGAGGATAATACCTGTTTTCACAATAGATTATTAGAGGGGTCAGCACCTCCACAGGTAGCTATCTTTCTGTACATCTATGTTAGAAGAAGGGTCATGGCAGTATTAAACACTAACTCAGCTACCCAAGAAACTGGTTTAATACAGCCCCCACTTAAAGAGCAAAACAATATGGGTTTAAGATGCTCCAGTCAATACTCAGACACTTCAGGTCCATTCCCTAATCAAAGACTCTACACAAGCATAAGTTAATAAAAAAAACCCAAGCAGTGAATTTGAAGAGGAGGTGAGCTGTGCTGTAAAAATGGTTCACAAGCCATTCCACAGGAGTTAAGCCACTTGATTCCCAGTGAGTCACTCAAAGATGAATGTTAATAATTTAGTCTCAAATTGCTCTCAATATTGCTCAACTGCAATATTCAAACCCAAATGTCTATACAAAAAGAAGCATGAGGGGTTAAAATAGTAGAAAAACAGTTTATGTCCTTGCTCTTATTTTTCAAGCCCTAGAGAAAACAAAAAACCCCAACCCAAACAAAAAAAAAAAAAAACCACACAAAAAAACCCACAAAAACCCAAATATCAAACCAAAATCAAACATAACAACCAAAACCCAGCAATTACTTAACTTGGAAGCTTTCCTTAAAAATCGCACGCTTATTTTCTGAAAAGTGAAATCTGAGTTTACCATTGCTCTTCAAATCCACTTTTTTACTCCAGCATCAAGGAAACACCTAGCATTAGAAAATCTGCAATGGGACACCAACACTTGGCAACATCTGGACTTAAAAAAAAATAAAAATAAAAATTACTTCAAAACCAAATTTGAAATTGTAGCTGAACTATGAAGAGCTCCCACCTTATACTGTACTAAACTCATCCAAAATAGCCAGAAGTGTAACCAACAAAATCAGAGATATAATTTCTCTGCATAACTATTTATGATCTTTCTAAGCAGGAGGAAAAGGTCAAAGGAGTAAAAAAACCCAAACAAACAAAAACAACATCACCCTACCCAAAGCACACAAACAAAATAACACCCAGGCATTCTCCCATCAGGAAGATTATTTACTTAACGGAGTGGGTGGCTTTCACTTTCTTGTAATACCAAAACTGACTGCCCTTTCAGTAGCTTGAATGGCCTTCATGGCCAAGGCAGTTGATGCACAGGCCTATTTACCCATTTGCATCATAGGTGCATGCATCCGTTCTTAGAAATGCCTCTTATGATATTCAAATACACAAAATATAAAGGTGCACCTACAAATCAATAAGCAGACCATTGCTATTATATTTTATTTACAAGGTAAATAACCATAACCTGATCAAACAGGTAAGATCATAGAAAAACACTGAAAATGTTTCCTTTATGAAATAGGCAAGCAATCTGTGCAGGATGCTTTAAGATAAACGCCTTCAGAATGAGTAGTGCTTATTAGCACACAGCTTTCACCAAGTATTTCAGTCTAAGGAAACCTTGGTCATTGCCCTCACTGGCTGAGCAGCAGGTAACATAAACACTGGCACATCTAAGGACAAAGCCTTAAATACAGAGAAACTAGGTAGATTCTGGGGGGGTGAGGGCACACAGAGCTTGTGGCCAGCACATTTCCCAGGCTGCATGTCCCTGTGTACATTCAGGTGCTCCTGTTTTCAGTTAATTTTGCCAAAGACATAACCTTTGTGCTGTGTTAGGGCCTTCCTCACATTTTATTAACCAAAGTTAGACGAAGCAACAGACCCTTACGACAGTCACAAACAGCTGGAAATTAAACCTAATGAAGACAATCAATGACATTTTCTAGCTAGCCTTCCCAAGAAGTGGAGCTTCCTTGGGAGATGACACACTGTACAAACAAAGGGGATCATCCTCATGGCTCTCATGGAGCCTGAAGACTCTGTGCTGGTGTGATGAAATATATGGGCTTTCCTGGGTCAAACTGAATTGAGGCAATAAGAAGCTTTTCAATTACCACACAGAGCATGATAATGCCATTTAGAAACTGTTTAAAAGTATCACATGAGCAAAAACATTAGTCTGCTTCACCGACAAATAAATGCAATCTGTATCTCCACCTGAAGCTCTGTTAGTTTCAGTAAAGAAAAGGTATTGCACTGACAGGTCTAAGGAACGTACAGCAACTTCACAATAGGATGAGTGTCCCAGCATTGCTCTGCATGACTGAAAAAGTGCAATCTAGTTATATATTAACTATCAGAGACACTTGAACTAAAGCTGTAGCTGCATGATCTTTGTATAAGAATTCTTCAAACAGATGTTTTGAACACTATTTACACTTGTCTTCTTCTCAAGCCTAAATAAACCATAAAAGCTCTAGAAATTCAGCAAAGCCAAATATGGCCTATGAGATTCTAAATATCTTAAACTCTTATTAACGTAACAAACACAACATAAAATTACATTAGCAACATATTTTGCAATATCTGTTAGGGCAGCCGGAGCAAAGCTGCACACACCACAGGGTCAGGCAATTCAGGAGGCCAGAGAAGACGACAGCACTCAAAAGAAGAGAGCAGAGCAGGCTGGTAACAGCAACTAAGACCAGCCACAGTCCAGAAATCCTAAAAAAAAGCCTTCACTAAAAAGACACTCACCTAAAGAACACAAGATGCATCAGAAAAGAGTTAAACCTATTATCTTGAGCTTATATAGAAGTCCCAAGACCATGGGCGTGAGAGAAAGGGCAGGTTAGCTGGCTCAGGGCAATTAAAGCTCCAGGTGTCCTCAGGGCCTGAAAGAGCTCTGCTCAGACACTAATGATCAAATTATTCTCAGTTGGCCTTTGAGTGAGTTCCCTGCTACTAGTGACTGGCTGAGGAGGGGGGAGGGGAGACATTAAAGTCAGTCACTTAAAAGGTGTTAGACAAATCACCCTTTAGAAGCGTTTCTTCATTGATTCAAAAGATACCTGGACATCTATGAGACGTGCAGGCATCTAAATTTTGTGGAGACGAATCCTTTCCAATTACAAGTATGCTATGGAGAGTCCAGGCTCAGGAGCAAACACGGAAGATAGTCGGAACTTGAAGCGTCTGGGAACCCATTTGTTTCTTACATGGATTTTGCATGTTTTTAAAAGCATTTTCCTTTTTCAGGAAGCTGCTGTTTCCATAGGCCCCATACAGTGCCATAAGAAAAACTGTGTAAGGTTGTTTCTGACTATAACATGTTTACGGTTGTTGCCAAAGAGCTTCTGCTTTTGTGGACCCACAAAATGGCTGGGCCAAGAGCCATTTCTTGGTATATGGGCTTTTAGCAAGAAATTATTCCAAAACATATATTCTAGTCATTTTGTTGTGACTTCAAATCACGGTGTGGTTCATTCATGCTGGGGAGGCTCCCTAGTTTGGGCTGAACAAAATTGGGATTGTTTCAGAGCTAGAAATTGCTGTAAACTGTGATCATCTAAATGGGAGTATTATTTCATACCATGCTTTTTATGTGAACCCTTTTTCACTAACCAGTTAGGTAAATTGTTATGGCCACTGTATATTTTCAGCAGTCGTACCTCTAACTTAAAAATAATGGTGCTGTATTGACCACAAGATAACCCTTCTTCATTTTGAGTAACATCAGAGAATATATCTTTCATACGTTTTTGCTTTATTCAACAGTTTTTGGTGTGCCTGACCTTATTCTATTAATGCTAAGCAGAATTAATTAAAGCCACAGCCTTTTTTTTTTTCTTCTTACTGCAACACATTTTGCTTAAAAAAATAATGTATCACTGCCTGATTAATTTTTCATGACTTAAATTATTACCTTTTTCCCATGGTTGTCATTGTTCCATATTCTTTTTTATGAACAGCTATTTTTTTCAAGCATAAATTTAAACCTGCTTTGCTAATGTGAACAGCTGTTAGGCTTATATAGCTAAGGCAGGGCTCCCAGAAGCCTTGAGCTTGAAGTTTGGCGCTGAGACCAAAAGGCTATGGCTTTACAGCAAGATCATTCAGCACACTAAAGTGTGTGTTGCAGAATGGAAGGAGATATTTGGAGCCTGCTGGACCAAAAAGCCAGCGTTTTGGTGTTCACTCTCCTGTTCTCTAGACTTATTAGTCTTGTGTATCAAGGAGGACTTCTTTAAAACAAGCCGAACAAAGATATTTTGATACAGTAACTGGCACTGACAGTGGCCACCCGAGTTTGAAAGCCCTCATCCAGTTGAAGCCACAGTCTCCAGTTCCTTTTTGAACCTGCTTTTCTTATTATCAGAAAAAAAAATATTTTTTACCTCTCCAATGTGTTTAAAATTGTTCCACCACAATCACTGAAAGCAGTCAGCTATATTTACCCCACGCATATATATACTTGTGCTGTATCTATCTCATAGCCACATCAGTTGTAAGCTGACAGCTCACCTCGTCATGTACCAACTAGCTCTTTTCATATACCTGAACAATATCTGGTTTATAATGTTACTGCAACTGTGCTGCTCTAATGGAACAAGCAATACAAGGCATGTAGGAAGAGCCACATATAGACCCACTGTTATAAACAGGGAGTAGGGAGATAAGATTTCAAGATATTTTTCAGGTCCTCTGACCCTGAGGATTTTTCAGGCTTCAGAGCAGCTCAGATCACACCTGTTTGATCTCATTTGTACATGTACTCATGTGTCTCAAATTGCAATAACCTGTGTTTCTATGTGTACTATTCCTGTTGCAGGGCATTGCTTAGATTTGTGAAAACAAGGTACAGATTATGGCACAGATTACTGAACATATGGAAAACATGCATGGTTGTTGTGTGAATGGTTTCTGGCTTGTTTCATCACTTACCTAGAAAGGCTTTAGTTGTGCCTGAATCACGTCTTTGTAGAGTTTAGACGGCTGCAGTGAGGCAGGGAAAGACTTCCAGTGACTCTCCTCATAAGTCTGTATGAAAATACTGGGAAAATAGGAATTACATCTCAGACACTGCTTACTATGGTGAAGGAAGATGTGTCACCTCCTAATACACAGAGAATACCACCCTGAATTCTGGGGCTAAATGCAGAATTCCTCATAAATAATTACAGCAGTTTTCTGTAGTTCTGTGTTATAAGAGATATAACAAAGTTACATAACTATGGGTCAAGAAATTATGGAGGATGACATTGGTTCACAGAGCAGACTGGATGAAATCAAGCTAGCATTTGGTTTTACAAAATCTTGAAG